GGCAATTCCAAATCACACAAATATTATACCAGAGGTGCCCCCAATTTCCAAATCGTGCAAAAAAGTCTCCTGCGAGCGGACTCATCGGAGAACCTGGGACGAGCTGAAGAAATTTAGGTTTTTTTTCATTTTTCTTTGATTTTTCGCTCATAGATCTCATCAAATTAGGGTATATATCCCCAATGCTAATTCTTCGATTTTTCGTTCATAGATTTCATCAAACCTGGGGCGAGCGGCAGAAATTTCGCTCATAGAAAAGATTCAGCTTTTCAACACCTCATCAAGATTCAGTTCTTCTTCCTCTTCGAGCTCATCCCCTCTTGATTTAGGTAAACCGCACGTCTTTAGCTTGTCTTTTGTGTTTGATTACATCCGTCAAAACCGGGTTTGATGTTTTGGGTCTCCTCTTGATTCGATTTTGGGAATGTTTTAGGGATGATTGTTCATTGTTTCTAACTTCTTATCCTCATTTTCATTTCTTGAATCCAACAGGAACCGAAGTCCCCTTGTGCAGTCGAGGATTTTGAGTTTTCTCCTTGATCATCTCTTCATCTTCAGGTACAATTGGTCCATATAGCTTCAATTCCTTTCAAAATTAGTCTTTAAATCTTGGAATGCAGTGAGATATTAGGTAATAGGTATATATCCCCAATTTTAATTTGGTTGTTTTGTTGAATTTGATTTTGGTTAACCTTTATTAAATTGATTTTTCAAATTAGATTGTTTTGCTAATTGTTTCCAATTTAATTATTTTTTTGTTCAAGATTAGAAATAATGCCACCTAGAAAGTACAAATCTGGAAGTTTAAAGAGGAAACAAAAAAAAGAAGGGGGAACAATTGACTCGATCACAACGAGATGCTCTTGACAGGTTCTTTGTCAGAGAACGTCCAACTATTTCAACTAAAGATTTAGTTGATGAAGACGATGACAACGATAATGAGGAATTGATTGAAGATGAGGGACTTGATGAAAATCACGGTGGTGATCCAAGTCCTAATGAGAATGATGGCAATGCAGATGTTGATGATATGAATCACAATGAGAATAATGACACCGAATCTGATGAAGAAGGGCTTAATGAGAATTTGGTTGTAGTTCTTAATGACTTAATTGAGGAACCAAGTGAGCAAGTTCCAGCGAACCTTTATGATCCTAGAGTTTGGGATAGTCTGAATGATAAACGGAGAGATCTGTTAGCTGTAAAAGGTCCCATAAGAGACACGCCGATAAAAAAAGGTTCTAAAATAGATTGAATAAACGCTTTACTTCAGGATTATACATTCGACACATACATAATAGAGAGACATCTGACAGAATATGGCTTGTATACTGCAAGGAGATTGATAAAGCATTTTGTTTTTATTGTAAATTGTTTAAGAAAAAGCCTATGATAACTCAGCTAGAAAATGAAGGATATAATGATTGGTCACATGTGGGTGTGTGGCTTAATGAACATGAAGTTAGTAAGATGCATATTCATAACATGGCTACTTGGATTGAGTTGCACCTTAGATTGGATAAGGGTCAGACAATTGACAAATCTTTCCAAGATCATATCATGAAAGAGAAGGAGCATTGGAGAAAACTGTTACGAAGGTTGATTTCAATTGTGAAATATCTTGCTAAATACAATTTGTCTTTTCAGGGCAAAAATCAGAGAATTGATAAAGAAAACAATGAAAATTTTATGGGATTAGTTCAGATGGTGGCACAGCATGATAAAGTGATGGAGGAACATATTCGTCGCATTCAGAATAAATAGATCTGTTATCATTATATAAGTAATGTTATCCAAAATGAGTTGATATTCATGATATCTTCTAAAATCCGAGGTGCAATCATATCTCGGGTTAGAGAAGCTAAATACTTTTCTGTTATACTTGATTATACTTCTGATATTAATCACCAAGAATAGATGACTATGATTTTGAGATGTGTGGATGTCACTGCTAGTCCAGTTAAAGTGGATGAGTATTTCATACAATTTTCTAATGTGGATGACACAAGTGGCCTTGGACTTTTAGAGGAGTTGCAGATGGCTCTAACGGGTCTTGGTCTTGATATTGATAATGTTCGAGGACATGGATATTGTTTGGGGAGAAAGTTGATTTGTTCATTGTTGTGTTCATTATAACTTCAAAAGTTATAATGAAAACAAAAGTTAGATAGTCTTTTTATAAGACCCTTACATAATGAAAACAAAAAAGTACAACTCTCGTCAAACAGCGCAACGGGTGTTTATCGCTCGCTGCTTGTATGGGATCTTGGCCTGTGACAGAGACGTTGATATCCGTGGACCACTAAATGATCAAATCAGATCCGGAGCTTCGTTGATTCACGCAGGAATCAAGAAACCGAAGTAATTATCTCAGCAACAGCGAGATAATTACTCTACTCGAGATCACCGCAATGGGGTAATCTCAAGGATAAGGAACGAGAACTGCAGATCTAAAGAACTATTCTTTTTCGTGTTAAAGAACTCGCTCTGATCTCCTCCTCTCTTCTGAAATTCGTGCTCCTTCATGTTAGACCCTAGAGGGGGGGGGGGGGATTAGGGTCTTATGCTAATCTAATCCGATTTTATGCCAATTAAAATTAATTAACAAGTTGTATTCTTGCAAGATAGATATACAAGAGTTATAAGCAAGAATAAGCAATATACACAAAGAGATATATCCTATATGATGAATATATATATATATATACAAGGATATATAAACTAACACAAGGGATAAACAATCTAAACAAGATAGTGGATAAAATGAATGAGCAATGCACAATTGGCGATAAAAAATAAATGCAAAAACAAATACGCCAAAGACAAACTCAAACAAGCGATATGATCACGGAGTTCGGACCTTCCGTCCTACGTCTCCGCTCCCCACTCCCGGGGAGAAATCCACTAACTCAACCGGGTTTTCTACGTTCACCCGAACAACGTTCACACCTCACACTACAATCACTATGCAATCACACCTTACACACTAAGTGTTGGTCCTAGCCCGTGTCCTCCTCCTCAAGTGTTAAAGAATGATAATCAAATAACTAAGCAAATGTAAAGCTAGATAGAGTTTAGAAAACTTCTCCAATAGATGACAAGATGGAGAGATGGAGATTGGAGCCCAAACAAGAAGATGATCTCCTCCACTTGTGAAAACTTCTTTACAAACAAAAATAAACTCTTAAACACACTTAAACCCTTGTTTAAAACTCTTTAAACTTGTTTAAAATATTTCTTGAGTACCCTTAGAAGTATGAGGGCATGGGGTATATATAGGCTCATGAAACAAGTCTAAAAACCAAGAAAAACACCTCCAAAACATTAAAATAAACAAAAACCAGAACTAGCCATTACTGTAGCAACGGTCGTCTGCTACAGTACTTCAATCGACCGGTACGGTCGACCAAGAGGCATATGCAAAGCTGAGAAACGTCCAGAGACATTTCCGGTCGACCGGTCCGGTCGACCGGAGTTACTATAGCAGTGCGCAGCTATTTTGTAAAATCAATTTAAAATAGTAAATGAACTCCAAAAAATATGAAATTTTGTGGGAATGTTCTAGACATGTAGAATAACATTTCAGAGAAAGAAGTTTTGAAAAATCTTTTCCCAGTTGAGAGAAATAAACATTTGAACACAAATTTACAGTTTCTGAAAAACTGTTAACATATACGATTTTGTAAAATCAATTGGGCATAGTAAATCAACTCTAAAAATAGTAAAATTTTGAGGGAAGTTTCTAAACATGTATATAAACATGGAAAAGAAAGAATTTCTTGAATATCACTTCCCATTTATGATAACTCATCTATTTTGTAAAACATGCATGAACATGCACGAACGAAAAACATGATTTTGTAAATTCCATTAAACATAGCAAATCAATTCCAAACTTGATGAAACTTTACGAAATGTTTATAAACATGAAAACAAACATGTTAGAAAAAGAATTTCTCAAATTGAATTTCCATTTGTGAAAACTCATGTATTTTGCAAGTATGTCCAAAACATGAAAACCTAAAACCATGCATGTATATATATAACTATATATATACATAGAAACCAAATACGTGTGTGTATATTATATTGAGCTTAGAATATCTAACACACATAATATAAATCCTAAACTAAATTACCCAAGCTTGATTGGTCTTTAATAAGCTCTACTTGGTAATCTCGCGGATGAAGCTTGAACTTGATCTTTAACATTGAATTGCAAGGCTTCACCGACATTCCGCCAACCTCCTTTGGATATGATCGTTGAAGCTCTATTCCATCCATCCTCCAACTACGTTGTTTGTCTATAATACATAAGAATGTACAAATACTAGACAAACAACATTAGTAGTAAATTGTTTGTAAATCATCATCAAAACATGAAGGCCAACACTTCAGTCTTCAGTTCGGCAAGGCTTCGCCAATGTTCGAGAATTTCAGATCCGAAAAAATAAAGGCCCTGAGGCTGTATTTATAGGCTTCGGGAGTTTTATTTTCAGATAAGAATGGTTGATTCACTTTTATCCTTAGTTGTAACCACTTAACCACATTCTTGGATGATATTTTATCCGTTGGAATAAATCTAGGAGGTTAATGTCGAAAAACAACTTAAAACCACAAAAAATATATTGGTTTTCAGGGTTGTGGACACCCGTGGGTGTCTCGGCTTGGCCGAGACGCCTCTGGGTGTCTCGGCCTCGCCGAGACACCAGTGGATGTCTTGGGTATTTTGATCCTAACTTCCTCATATGACCTCCAAATAATATGACTCAAGATATATTGGAAATCTGACGAAGATATCTACAACTTTTATCTTTTGAGCTTTTTCATATTCAAATCGAATTATGGCCAAAATCTTCATTCTTCTCCGAGACACCAACACTGTCTCGGAATTCTGAGGTAGTTTGTATTATCTTTGGTATTTTGGCTTTATCACTCTCATACGATCTCAGAATGAGTTGATCTAAGATGTATTAGAAAGCTAACAAGGATCTCTACAACTTTTATTTTTTGATTTTCTTCATATTCAAAGCGCATCATAGGAAAAATAGATCTATAAGGTTTGAGACACCTATGGGTGTCTTAGGTTTGGCCTGAGCTTGGTTTGGCGTGTTCTGTCCATTTTTATCGTATCTTTATCGTTTGAACTCGGAATCACGCGATTCAAAATGTGTCAGAAAGCCGACGAGGAGATCAATAAGCTTCCATGATTGAATCATATGTGAAGTAAATGGTACACGAGGGGTGCTTCATCTTTCGTAAGCGACGCTTAGCTCCCGACCCATTCGTGTTTCCGTTATTCTGAAGTTCCATTGCTTCGTATGGTTTGTTGACTCACTTCATGCGCTTTTCATCATTAAATAAGATTTTGTGACTCAAATAGCAACGTTCATCATCTTCTCTCTTTCTCAAGCCGCATGCGGGGACCTATAGGTAATTTTTTGACACCTACAGATACCCCCCCCAAAGTGTTTCAGTCTCGTTTCTTTTATAGATGAGCCTGAAATACTTTGGATATGATTGGTCCAACCTTCAGTTGGTGTAAAAGGACCTATAGTTATCTTTGACTCTTGACTTTTTTGATTCTTAGTCTATTCAATATCTTAATGAATAACCAAAGTTGTTCTGGCGTTGCGTTTATCATCTGGCCGTCGTCGAAGTCTCGAATCGAAACTGGTGAGTTGATTTTGGCTCATATCGTTAAGTTGACTTTGAACTGATTATCTCCATCACAATATATTAACTTGCGTTGACTTTCATCACAACGCGTGGTAGTCTAGGTTGCAGGAGCAACTATTAAAGTTGATTCATCTGCAGGTATGGATCTTATCCTGAAGTTGTTGGATTCTCAAGTCACGAGACCAACTAATGAAGTCAGTGCATCAATGACTCTCACATGCATAGGATTTTTAGCAAACCCTCAGACATTAATGGGTTTGATGAGCCTTTACCGACTATCATTTGGGTCAGGCTAGCATGCGGATTGTTTAAGTCCGTTCCGCATGTAACGTTATGCTAAAAGAGTTAATTCTTTTAGTGTTACGATATTGAATACGTAGACTTCGTATTTCTCATGGGAATAGACTACCCGGCCGCATGTATCAGATGCAGACTCGGGATTTTTAGCAAATCCTCCGCCCTTAACGGATTTGACGTGCCTTTACCGTTTACCGTTTGAATCGGGCTTGCATACGGATTGTTTAAGTCCATTCCGCATGTGACGTTATGCTAAAAGAGTTAACTCTTTTAGTGCTACGATATTAAATACGTAGACTTCGTCTTTCTTACAGGAATAGACTACCCAACAACGCGTGTTAGACGTTAACTTATCCCTTCTTAGGATTAATGATAAAAGTCCTTATACTTATATTCTAGTGTCTTCTTCAATCGGTGAAAGACTAAACCGCCAACGCGTGTTAGGCGTTGACTTATCCCTACTTAGGGTTCAGGATAAAATTCCATGTGCGTGTGAAGCACAGATTTTGGCGTTATGAATAACAACCTGCCATAATATCGAATATGTGGGCTTTTATCCTTTTTACGGTAAAAGACTAACCGACAACACGTGTTAGGCGCTGACTTATCCATTCTTAGGCTTCGGGATAAAATTCTCCAGACTTGGATTCTGGTGTCTTCTTCAATCGGTGAAAGTGTGACGCCTCTAGGTTCACACAAGGCTGCAGTCCAAGGTGAAACCAAGAATGTCAAACCTGTCATGCATCACAGCGTGTAATAACATATTTTACCATCACAATTACTATCTT